CACTCCCGCTTGCCCCCCATCCCTTCCTCCAAAAGGGTAAGTCCTCCTACTCAAGGGAGCCTCCCCAGCCCATGTCTTGTTTGATAGTGTTATCTTTTATTTTCTCTTTCCCTTCAGCTTCTCCATAATTCCTGACCTCAGATTATGCAAGAGAGCCATAGTGATGAACAGCAGCATAGTACTGACACAAGAACAGACATGTGGACAAAACAGAGTAGAAGGTCCAGAAATAAACCACAGCCTTAACCGTCTCATGTTTCAAAGAGATGTAAAAAATCTACATGGAACTAAAGACAGACTTATGAAATATGAATAATTGTTTTTTCTTCCTAGCATTGCTTCAGCTACTTGCTATCTTCTGTACTTCCATGTGAATTTTAGGATTGTTTTTCCTAGTTCAGAAAGGAATGTCTTTGGAATTTTCTGCATATTCCGTTGAATCTGTGGATCACTTCTCAGTAATACAGCAGTGTCGCACATTAATCCTTCCTGTCAGTAGCTCCAGGTCTTTCCATCTTGTAGTGTCTTCTTCAGTTTCTTTTTTAGAGACAGGAATTCATGCCCCTTAGGTGTGCAGCTGCCTCCACTTGGCGTGGTGTGCTAGGCAAGCACCCTGATTACAGAACACTTCTTCAGTGTTTGAACGTTCTCACTCTAGAAGTCTGGGCCTCCTTGGTCAGATTTATTTCTAGACCTTTTTTTGTTTTGAAGCTTCTAAGAAGGAGATATTTCTCATTTTCTTGTCTGTAAGCTTGTTATTGGTTTATTCCAAAGGTACTGGGTTTTGTATGTTGATTCTGCTTCCTCATTTTCATTAGGGTTATGCCTACACTTTCATCACAGAGGATCAAGCTCGCTATGCTGGTGACATAATTAAAGCTCTTGAATTGTCAGGGACGGCAGTGCCTCCTGACCTGGAAAAACTCTGGAGTGACTTCAAAGACCAGCAGAAAGCAGTGAGTCTTTAAACTTCCTTATGTGAGTCATTAACAAGATGGGAGAACACTGGATAATTTGGTAACTGTGTTCACTTACATCTTTTTTGTTTTTATGGTTTTTTTTTGGGCAGGGTATTTCAATGTAGGTCTGGCTGTCTTCGAACTTGGTATATAGACCAAGCTGGCCTCAAATTTTCAGACTTACCTGTTTCTGCCTCCTGAGTGCTCATATTAAGGGTCCATGTCCAACCACTTACATATTTAGAAGGAAAAATAGTGAAAATAGAATCTTTTGTTTAAACTTTGTCATGTTTTTGTTAAGTTGGTATATTCTACTTTGAAAATATTTAACAGTGTTTACTTTAAAAATTAACTTGGTTAACTTTTTTCTTAAAAGGAAGGAAAAATTATTAAAAAGAGTAGTGGTTTCTCTGGCAAGGGATTCAAGTTCGATGAAACAGAACAGGCTTTAGCCAACGAGAGGAAGAAGTTACAGAAAGCTGCTCTTGGCCTGCAGGATTCAGATGATGAGGATGCGGCAGTCGATGTAAGTATCGGAGGTCTCTGTGTGTGTGCCATGGGTCGTATATGAACCCTGTTTAACTCATTTAATCTGGGCATTTTCCAGCATACTTGTTCATAGAACATACTTTACACATCATAGTAAACTATCCCAAGCTAGATGTGGTCATACGTGATTTTGCTCCAGCTACTCAGAGGGCTGTGGTAGGAGTGACCCCAGAGTATAAGGTCAGCCTGGGCAACACAGCAAACTTTCTCATACAGCCACAGATGACCTCTGCTGAGAACATAGTCTTGTAAGTGTGTTGAGCCTGACCATGCTGTTGAGAACACTGAAATCAGTGAAAGTATTGGTCCACGACCACACTGAACACAGACAGGGCAGGTCTCCTGTCAATTGTAGGCCATTTCTTTCTGGTGCACCACACTAGCTTAGAATGAAGTGAAGTTGCTGTTTGGTTATGTGTTTACCTTGTAGTGAGTGAACTCAAAAGTTAGTAGGTTAGAGCTGGGCCTGGTAGCATGCTTAGCACTTGACTACTTAGGAGTCAGAGGAATCCCTTTGAGTTTCATGGTGCTGTCGTCTATAGTAAGCCGCAGTATAGCCAGGGCTACATAGTGAGACCCTGTGTCAAAAAGAACAAAAACAAAAAGTGATGATGATCAAGTCATTAAATCTACCCTACTTTCAAGGGAAAAGTCACTCAGTTTTAAACTTGTTTTAATCACCATCTGTCACACGCGACACACATGCACATAAAACAAATACAAATGTGATTTTTTTTTTTTTTTTTTGAGGCAAGGTTTCTCTGTGTAGCCCCGGCAGACATGTGCCACCGCCACTGCCTGGCCTATTTACTAAGATTTTTAAAAAAATGTGTGCTGTTTAATTTAAAACAACCTCATTCAGTTAAATGTACAGTTCAAACACCCTCACCATAAAAACTATTTGATAGCTATAACCCAGTAAGGGAAAATGTGTGTTTTTTAAGAAGAGGCTAAATTAAGACCATTTCATTAGACAGGCTTTCTAAATTAATCTAATTTAAGTCCAACAAGCTTTCCCTACCTCTGAGACCGAGAAGATAAAAACCCACATCTGATCTGGTCTTCTGAAGGAAGTTGTGTGACTCCCATCATGATGCCACAAGTCATTTTGGGCAAAGCAATCCTTTTTGTTTTGTCCTTTTTTCTGTTTCTAGTCTGTTCTATTAACTAATTCTGTGTGTGTCTATGTGTGTGGTGCATGTACCATGGCATGTGTATGGAGGTCTGAGGAACTTAAACTCGGGTCAGAGGCTTACATGGCAAGTGCCTTTACCCAGAGCCGTCTCACCAGCCATTGTTCTGTTTCTGTTGGGTTTTTGAGCTCTCTTCAAAGACAAGGAGCTGGTGAGATGGCTCAAATAAGGTGCTTGCCATATACCTGGCCACGTGTTGTCCTTTGAGACCCACACACAGTTAATGTCGTCTTTGTTTTTGTTTTTTTTTTTTAAAGATTTATTTATTTATTATGTATACAGTGTTCTGCTTGCATGTATCCCTTCAGGCCAGAGGAGCCAGATCTCATTACAGATGGTTGTGAGCCACCATGTGGTTGCTGGGAATTGAACTCAGGACCTCTGGAAGAACAGCCAGTGTTCTTAACCTCTGAGCCATCTCTCCAGCCCTAATGTCTTCTTTTTTAATGACAGTGTAGCTAACGGCACTAGGGTTCACGTGACTGTAGAGAACTGAAAGCTTCATTGTTGCTCTTCCTTCTAGGGAAGTTAGCCTTCATGTCCTTCCTCATCCCTTCTCCTTTTCGTTGGTTTGTTTGGCAGGTTGTTTTTTTGTAACCTACCCTGAGTCCAGCTGTTGATCCTCCCATCTCGCCTCTGGAGTGCTAGGGTTAGAAGTCTATGTCACCATGCTAACCCATTCTCCTTCCTTCAGAAGAAGGGGCTGGGGTGTGGCTCAGTCAGTAGAGTGCTTGCTCTGATCTCCAGCAGTGCATGAACTGAGTGTGGTGCTGCAAGCCTGTGGTCCCAGCCCTTGGAAGAGGGAGCCTGAGAATCAAGGGGTGGAGATCAGGGCTGAAGAGATGACTCAGTAGTTTAAAGCACTTGTTTGCTCTTCTGGAGGACCCAGGTTCAGTTCCTCCAGCACCTACATGATGGCTCACAAGCAGGGGAACCAAAGTCCCCTTCTGACCTCCTCAGGCACCAAGCATGTACATATACATGCAAGCAGGCAAAACATACATGAATAAATGAAAGAAAATCAGTTATGCAGTGAGTTTGAGGTCAGAATGAGCTACATGACAACTTGTCTCAGAAGAAGAAGAATCCTCGTTTTAGGAGTTGGCGGTAGGAGTCCTGCCTCAGGAACATACTGATCATTCCTCCTGAGAATCACTGGCCTTGAGTTATAGCCCTAACTTCCTTCATTATAAAATAATTTGGGCTTAGTGCCTGAGTCCTGGAATAGTTCAGTGCATCGTTTGTACTGCTCTGGCTTGAGAGCCTGTGTTTCCTCATTGACAAGATTGGGATGAATTTTCTGTGCCTCTCAGAAGTCTGATTAAGCAGATCTTGTAGCATGGTGTATTTCTTTCTTTCTTCTTTTAATTTTTTTCCATTACAGACAATAGATTTTTGAAAGAAAAGTCAGTGAAGAGCTTTTTTTTTTTTCTGTTGATCCATGTATTTGAATTTATGTAAATTTAACTAATTCTAGACTTTTATAGAAACATTCTTTTTGTGTAGATGCAACTGAGTTAGTATTTCTAACCCAGTACCTTAACTAATCCTTGATTTCCCCTGGTCTAGATTGATGAGCAGATTGAAAGCATGTTTAATTCAAAGAAGAGAGTAAAGGACATGGCTGCACCCGGCACATCTAGTGTGCCTGCCCCAACTGCAGGCAACGCCGAGAAGCTCGAGATCGCCAAGAGGCTGGCGCTTCGCATCAACGCTCAGAAGAACCTGGGCATCGAGTCTCAGGTATTAAGTAATTTGTTCCGAGTCTTAGTCGTATAGTTCCTGTTGCGGTGACATGGGACTCTTGAGAGTGACGATTCAAACTGGCAGGGTTTCTTGTAGTCCAGCCTGGCCTTGAACCCTCTGTAGCCAAAGATGACCCTCTCCTGGTCCTTCTGTCTCTACTTCCCATGTGCCAAGATGACAAGGGTGCTCCCGACACTGTGTTTCAGCACCACTTTCAATGTAGATCCTTTCCAGGAGCACAGTGAACAAGTTCTGTTAGAAAACAAGTTTCCAAGAATACAATCGTGCTCACTATAGGACTCTCTTTGATGTCTGCCTTCAGAAGTTCTCTCTGTAGACCTTCTATATAGAAAGCCTGTTAGGAGTGAGTCATGGATAGCTCATACAGAGCAGATGAGCATCTTGATCGAGAACACTCCACAATCAGAAACTCTTCTTTGGTGACCTGATGTTGATTTTTTTTTTTTTTTTTCTGTTCATCTTTTTCAAGACGGGGTGTTTTCTGTGTATGTAGCCCTGGCTGTCCAGGAACTGTCTCTGTTGACTAAACCTCGAACTCAGACATCCACCTGCCTCTGCCTCCTGAATTCTGGGATTAAAGACATGTGCTACCACTGCTCAATATGTTTTGGACTTTTTTCTGTTCAGCTGTATATATTCAGATGGTAATGTCTGTGCAAATATCCTAAAATTTAAAAATTTAAGCCCTGAAGTGCTTCTGTCCCAAAGCATTCTGGGTAAGAGATCTCCAGCTTGTACTGTATTTTCTTCTTACCAAGATTGAAAAATGTGATTCATTTATTTACTAATCTGTTTCATTGGGTGGATTTATTGGCTACTGTAGCTGGAGGGCTTCTCTCCAGGTCCCACCAACCCCCCGCAGTCCCACAACCCACGTATAAAATAATCACTCAGACGCTTATATCACTTATAAACTGTATGGCCGTGGCAGGCTTCTTGTTACCTACTTCTTCTATCTTAAATTAACTCATTTCTATTAATCTATAAGTTGCCACATGGCTCATGGCTTACTGGTACCTTACATCTCACTTGTCATGGCGGCGGCTGGCAGGTCTCTCCCTCTGCCTTCCTGTTCCCTCAGTTCTCCTCTCTGTTAGTCCTGCCTATACTTCCTGCCTGGCTACTGGCCAATCAGTGTTTTATTAACCAATCAGAGCAATGCATTTGCCATACAGAACATCTCACAGCAGGCTACAGAAGCAGTGCTGGGATTAAAGGCGTGCACCACCACCACCCAGCTGAGGTTTTGGTTTTTAAACACAGGGTCTCGTGTTCTTTGGCCAACCGAGAGCTGGCAATCACTTTCTTTCCTGTACCTCCTTGAGGGTTGGGATTACAGGAGTTTGCCATCATGCCTGACATTGTTGACTTTTAAGTAAAACAGAATTCTCATGACATGCCCAAAGGATGAGTTAACTAATTTTGACAGTATTTTGAATGAGTCATTTACCATAATTTATTGAGTATTTGGATGGTTCACTGTGGGTGGGGAAGGACTCAGTGATGCAGCACAGGCATTTTAATGAAGTAGAAATGCATAGTAGTCTCCAGTCTATGCTTTTAGAAGAACTGTGTTATGTACTTGGTACTGCGAGTTAGCTAATGATCCTTGTCTGTGGTGCAGTACTACATGGTAGGCCACTGACTGTCCTCAGTTTTCTTGTCAGGATGAGAGGAAAGTGACAGTTTCAGTTAAGGACTTACACTGGTCAGTCCCATGTGAGAGGAATTGCATTAGAAAGATCCTTTCTGTTTATTAAACTGATTTAGTAGTTTTGAGGAGAATCATTGCGGGAAGGTCCTGGCCCCTATCTCTGTCTGCAGCTGAGGTTTAACTGGAGGTCTTCTTAAACCGCAGGATGTGATGCAGCAAGCCACCAATGCCATCCTCAGAGGGGGCACCATTCTGGCTCCCACGGTGTCTGCAAAAACCATCGCAGAACAGCTTGCTGAAAAGATCAATGCCAAGCTCAATTACGTGCCTTTGGAGAAACAGGAAGAGGAGAGGCAGGAGGGTGGCCAGAGCGAGTCTTTCAAGAGATACGAGGAAGAGCTAGAAATTAATGACTTCCCACAGGCAAGTGACAGAGAGAAACGTTGTTATACTGTGCGGTAAAAGTGCTTCTTCTGGAACAGAGTCCCTTCCTAAAACCCACAAACTGTTAGATCCTTGTTGTTCTGTCTGGGTTTATTTTATTTTGAGATAGGGCATCATAGTACAGCCTGCCCCAAATTCTATGTGTAACTAAGGATGAACTTAATGCCAGGCCCTCTTACCTCTCGGGTGCTGGGAAGACAGGTGTGCACCACCACACCTGTCTCTGTTGGTTTATTTTTTCAGTACTAGAGAGAGAACCTAGGACTTGATACATGCCAGGCAAGTACTTTAGTGCTTCTCTGTACTTCTAGCCTCTGAAATAGGATTATTTGTAAGTGAACATTAATGGCTTGGCTTTTACCTATATAAGGGAGATAGTAATAGACATTGAATAGACAAAGAATAGTATATTCTTTTTTGTTTGTTTTTTGGTTTTTTTTGAGACAGGGTTTCTTTGTGTAGTCCTGGCTTTCCTGAAACTCTATAGACCAGGCTGGCCTTGAACTCAGGAGATCAGCCTGCCTCTGCCTCCTTAGTGCTGGGATTAAAGGTGTGTGCCACCATTGCCCAGTGAAAAATCTTCTTTTTTAACCCAGAATTTTAGACCAATGGTGTGATGTTATACATTGGGATGGGCTGGGGCACAGGTGTTAGGCGGGCATGTTGGTCAGAGGACAGCGTGCAGGAGTTGGTTTTCTCCTTCTACCAGGCAGGTCCCAGGCTTTGAACTCAGTTCATTAGCCTGGGCATCGGGAGCCTTTATCTACTGAGCCATCTCACCTGCCCTCAACTCAGATTTCTGTGTTGTGATTTGATTCTGCAAACCTTTGTTTTAGACGGCTCGGTGGAAGGTTACCTCCAAGGAGGCCCTGCAGAGAATCAGTGAGTACTCTGAAGCCGCCATCACAATCAGAGGAACCTACTTCCCTCCTGGCAAAGAGCCCAAAGAAGGAGAGCGCAAGATTTACTTGGCGATTGAGAGTACGTACTGTTGCTTTTGTGTGAAGCTTGAGTTAGATCATTGATGTAGATGTGACACGGGTCAGGGTGAAGTTGATAGTAGGAAATCTGAAATTAGGGACATCTCTAAGAAATAGATGACCATGTGTCGCTTGAGGTCTTTGAAGTTCAGTAACCATATAGATAGAAAGCTGAATATAGATCTATTTGTGGGATTTAAGTTTGAAAATTTTCTACAGAAAGTATGAATTTTAAGGACATACATTTTTCTTTCTTTTTTCTTTTTTTTAAAAACTGGACACTTGATGGTTTTGTGTGTCATCCTTGTGCAGGGGCCATGCTCGTCCTCTCTGCAGCCTTCGTATTTAGTGCATGTGCTGTCCAAGTGAGCACAGGACTGGCAGCACCATAAGTCAAGTTAGGAAGCAGACCGCTGTACTAGTTCACTAGCCTGGCAGGCAGCGCACTCGCTGACATCGCGTGAGGTGCTGTCTCCTGGGCCTCCTTACAGTGCAGAAACAGCCAGTGTAGTTGAGTGGTGTGAACTGTATGCTTTCTACTCGGCCTTCAGGTGCCAACGAGCTGGCTGTGCAGAAAGCGAAGGCAGAAATCACCAGGCTCATAAAAGAAGAACTGATCCGACTGGTAAGTGAAACACACCCTCAGGTCTTATTTGTTGTAGTGACTGTTCGTTGCATTTAATACAAGCAGGCATAGAAATCATAAACACCTGTCTTGCTAGCTGATCACCTGTTAGCCCAGCACTTTGGGACTTGGAAGCAGTTGAATTTCAGGGACAGCCTGGTGGGACTTGAGACCCTGTCCCAACACAGAAATATATCTTTTTTTCTTTTTTTAAAGATTGTTTATTATGTATACACTATTCTGCCTGCACGCCAGAAGAAGGCATCAGATCTCATTACAGATGGTTCTGAGTCACCATGTGGTTGCTGGGAATTGAACTCAGGACCTCTGGAAGAGCAGCCAGTGCTCTTAACCTCTGAGCCATCTCTCCGGCCCCACATAAGTGTATCGTGATGGATTTTTAGTGTAGTCACTATCTAAATGAAGAAATGCAGACCATTTCTCCACCTAGAAGCCTGGCCTCTGGCTTCCATGTCACTGTTCATCGCCCATAGATAGACATATTGTGACTATAAATTTGGAGATTAGTTTTATGTTTTTTCACCTCTGTGTGGTGGACTATATGCTGTCTATTCTGTATATCTCAGCATTATATGAGGAGGCTATATATTGCAGGTAGCAACAATGGATGCCTTTTTATGCCTGTATGCTATTTAATTGCTTAAGTTAAATATGTATTATTAAATTAAATAAGTTAACTTACATATTGAACTTGGATATTCTGCTTTTGGCTTTTGTCAATAACATTTCTATGAACCTTCTTCCTTGACTTTTTGATATACATTAATACATTTCTTTATTGAATATACACTTTGGAATAGAAATTCTGTTTATAAATTCTATACAGTTTATCTTGTTGGTAGTTGTTACCACATTGTTTTGCAAAAGCATTTACCAGTTTTCACTCATCAGAGCATCTGGAAATGCCACACCTGTAGTATAGTCAGTATTTCACAGTTTAGGCAGTGAGTTAATTTTGGAAAAAGAACGGCCTGCTAAAGATAACCTTTGTAAAGGGGGCCACAGATGCATCACTGACCTTAAGTACCAGGTATGGGCTGTAAACTCTCCATACAGTCGCTGCTTTGAAAGGAAGTCTGGTAGTTATCTAAGGAAAGATGAGGGGGAGGAGTTCTGAAATCCCATTTATAATGCATAGAATTTGGGGGGGGAGTTTTTATTTTTTATTTATTTATTAATTTTTTGAAGCAGGGTTTCTCTGTGTAATCCTGGCTGTCCTGAACTCACTCTGTAGACCAGGCTGGCCTCAAACTCAGAGATCCACCTGCCTCTACCTCTTGAGTGCTGGGATTAAGGGCATGTGCCCAACTTAAGAGGGGAGAATATACTTTTTTTTTTTTTTTTTAACACTTTTTGTTAACAATTTATTTTTATTTTGTTTTATTTTATTATGTACATTGGTGTTTTGCCTCCATGTATGCCTGTGTGTGGGTGTTGGATACCCTGGAACTGGAGGTACAGACAGTTGTGAGTTGCCATGTGGATGCTGGGATCATCTGGGAGAGCAGCCAGTGCTCTTAACCGCTGAGCCATCTTTCTAGCCCAGGGAAATAGTTTTTTAAAAAGAGGGTATACAAAACAGGAGAGAAAATATAAACAAGCTTTAAGTCAAGAACTTCAAGCCAAATATGGTGACTCATTCCTATAATCCCAGCACTTGGAAGGCTGGGGAAGAGGACTTCTAAATTCAGGGCTTGCCTGGGCTATTGAATGTGACCTTGTCTCAAAAACTACTAATAATATAGTAGTGTACAAAGGTCTCGAGATTGTTTCACCAAAGAGAAATAGAAAAAGAACTTCATGCTTCGAGACCTCAGAGGTATCAGGGAAGGGGTACAGGTGAACAGAGAGAATGAATTCATTATTGACCCATTCCTCTGCCTCCACCTCTGCCTTTTCATTTTGGCTATCTGATGGTTTTACAAATTGCTAACAGAAGATGATCTCAAACATTTACTTTTTGTGTGTGTGTTCGCTTTTTCTAATCTTCTGTCTTTTATTTTCTATCATAGCAAAATTCGTATCAACCAACAAATAAAGGACGATACAAAGTATTATAAACATCTTGGAGCCACTTTGTACCTGTGCTGGTCTGTGAAGTTTACAATGTATTGTAAAGTAAGACTTTGAAAATTCTGTCTTGCGTATTTTTTAAATACAAGAAACCAGTGTTTGTTACGGAAGTTGTCTGTCAGTAAGTACTGCCCCACACTGATCCAAACTCCATTTCAGTCAGACCTGTTTTCAGAGTGTGATGTTCTTAATGGAAACCTTAGACACCAATACTTAAGTGTCTGGAAACATTGGGGTTTTGTGTTGAATGTAGTAATAAATTATGTCAGTCACTAAGGGGCCACCGACCTCTCCTCTTTCACTGAAATTGTGATGTGATCAGCTCCTAAGAAAAGAGAAAAGTCCTTGTCATATTTTATTGCCACTGTTGAAGCTTAAATCTTATTTGACTGAATGGAACATGGGAACTGGATCTAAAAATGTTATAGTAGACGTTTACAAAATAGGTTCAGAGTTTTTTTAATTTTATCTTCAGAAATAAGTAGTAGTTGGTTTGCCTTTGTTTTTGTAAAATTAAACATAAGCAGCACTATGGGATTTTTGCATTTCTTTCCCTTTTCTTCCTCATTTGAGAGAGTCCCTGTATAGCTTAGGCTCGCCTTGAACTTGTGACCCTCTTGCATCTGCCTTTGTAGTGCTTGGGATCACCACACTCAGCTTCCCACTTCTTTCCACTGCAGTAGTGCTCCTATTCAGGTTTGCTCTCAACCTCCGATTGCCTAAGTGCTAATTCATTTCTTGCTTACTTTTAGAGAAAGTAATTGTGCCCAATACATACTAAATATTGTTCCTTTTCCTCTGAAGAGTTTCTTTAGACATTTATATTATGGTACATACAAACACCTTATTACTTTTAATCTAATTTCCCTTCAGGATGATTGAGTAGGTTGTGAATTTTTCCCTCTTAAAACAAGGCAGGTATGAATGCCTGTCATCCTAGCACCCAAGAGGCAGGGGCAGAAAGATCATGAATTTGAGGCCATCCTGGGCTTACATAATGAAGCCTTACAGAAGGCAGAGGCAGGCAGATTTCTGGGAGTTCAAGGTCAGCGGTCAGCCTCATTTATGGAACTAATTCTAGGACAGCCAACGCTACACAATAAACCCTGTCTTGAAACACACACACACACACACACACACACACACACACACACACACACACA